GATGCTGTTGCACGTATTGTTGGTTCAACAAAAACAGTTGCTGATGTTGAAACATTTTTTTTGGAATGTCGTGAACGTTATCAACTTGATATGGTTATTGAAATAAATTCGAAACCAATTACAAATGCTCAACGAAAACAAACATCAACATCCAATAATGATCTCAATTCTAATCGATCAAATACTAATGATATTGTTCTTGTTAGTTGACTGTTTAGATTTTCTTTTTCTTTTTCTTATTATTAATGTAAAAATGATAAATATTTTTTTTTTTTGTTAACTATAGTTATTTGAAAGATATTAAAACAAATAGAATCTTATTTTTCATTTCAGATTGAACAAATAGAATGGAAGATATTATTATTTCACTGGAACCAGCATTTCATCGTGTTGAACGTTTTATTTTATGGAAAAATCGTTATGCAAGTTTACTTGCATTTCTTATTGGTCATTGTATTTTCTATGGTATAGCACGAGCTGGTCTACGTCCATTTTGTGCTATAACTCTTGTTATATTAATATTTCATATACTTGATAGTTTAAAACAAAAACGATCACATCTAGCAGATGATGATAAAAATTTATGTGAATTAACTCAACTTGTTATACGTTCATATCGTCATGCATGTCAAACACATGAAAAATTAAATACATTGAAAACAGAAAATCGTGTTAAATATTCAATTATTATTATTGTTATTTGTCTTGCACTTGCATTTATTGGCGTTAAAATAAATGGTTTTTATGTATCGTATATAACTATGTTAATACTTTTTACATTACCAGCTGTTGTTTATCATAAATTAATACCTAAATTACTTCGACGTTTAGCACCTGTACTTGAACAACTTGATCAATCGATGTAAATTTTAGAAAAAAAATGTTATCGATATATATACTATTTTTCTTTTATATAGGGAATATAAACGACGTTCATTAATTGATCGAAAAGATCTATTAGTTAAAATCGATCGATCTGGATTGAATAATGATGACGATGATGATGATGTTCGACGATTAAAACAACAACGTGACATATTACAACAAGAATTATTACCAACTAAACAACGTCAACCATTAAGTTTAACTGATGATGATGAAGTAGAAGATGAACAAAAATTAATTGATACAAATGATCAAAGTCAAACAATATTAAATTTTCGACAACGATATCAAAATGAAGCTGTTGTACCAAAACAAAAAACAACTATGGGTGAATCAAGTTTTGATATGCTTAGTGATTCATCATCATCATCAGTTGTTGATGATGAAACAACTCGTATAAGTGAATTATATGCGAATGTTGGCGATCGAATTGATGGTAAACATCGTATTAAAGTTAAAAATGATGAATTAAAAATTAAAGGACGTTCAAGTAAACAACGACCAAAATTAATGGATGCACAATATTTTCAATCGAATAATGATACATCATCACCACCAACATTAATTAATACATCAATGATTAATTCAAATAATGAACCAGATTTAACAAGCTTTGATTTTCTTAATGATTATGATGAAAAAGCATAATCGAATGTATTTATATGTGTGTGTATGTTCTTTTTTTTAATTCAGAGCAATACTATTTCTTTTCTTTTATCTATGGTGATTGCACTTTATTAATTATGTAAAGAGTGTTTAAATACGACGTTTTCTTTATCTTTACTATTTTATATCCCTTTCGATTGTGTATATAGAGAACGATGAACTTTATCGAGATGATGTATCTTATATCATGTTTTTATGTGCCTATTCTTTTTTTTTTTTCTTTTATACACTGTCATCCGTTTATTTCACGTGTGCGTTTGTTGTTCGTTTCAGTGAACAGTTTGTGTTTTGAAAAATAAAAAAAGGCAAAACAAAAATAAATCAAATGAATTTTATTATTGAATCTGTTCGATTTTCTTTATTTTTAAATGAATATTTTTGTTAAAAATGATCCTGAATATTATTGAGGTGAAGTCAAGAACAATATCCATCTGACAATTTTCGAAGAATTGTAAAATCATATACAGTTTATCATTTTTATTCTTTTTAAAGAAAATCTTATTAATATTTTTTTCAGTTTCGATTGAGATGAATAGAAATGTCAATGCAATTGAACCTGAATTGGGTATATTAAAAACTCAACATGATAACTTAGAAAAATATTGTGAGCAAATATCAGGACGAAAATTGATAATGTATTCAAAGTGGAATTAAGTCGTTTTTTACAAAATGATATGATATGTAGTGAATATCTACTTATTTAGTTTTAATTTTTTTTATTTTGTTTAAGTTAATATCAGTTGAAGAAGGGTTAGGGTGGGTGCGAGTATGGATAACGATAACGAATAAAATAGAGACAACCACACTTTTTCATGGTAATGAACATGTGGAAAATCGATTATGCAATATTTCATTAATGAAACCATGATATTCGAGTATTTTGTGAAAAACAAAATGTTCTCCTCTTTTTTCTGTTTCTGCCAGAATTTAACTCTTTCCCTTTCTAAAATAATCGGGAACTTATGAACATTTCAGATTTAAATCAGACTGAAAACATTACAAATTATTCGATTTTTATTCTTCTTCTTTTATATAATTATTTTATCAGCGAATATTAAACTTTGTCACCAACGTTCATCATAGTGTTGCTTATACCAAAACTAGTTACAGACAACGTTCTATTACAGTAAAATAAAATATCAATGAAATTCTACAACATAATCAATATGTGGATGTAGACATTTTATAGTTATTCTTCACCAATACCCGTCCTCGAGTCTGTCCCCTGCGTAGATGAGGTTCGCGCTAGCTATAGTTCCACGACACTAGTTCTAAGTCGCGCGCCTGTCGAGTAACTTACTATAGTTTTCTTATTTACGAACATATTTATGTGAAATTTCTAGCTAATCGAATATGTTAAATAAAGCGAGACATAAAAAAAGTTTATAAGAAATATTAGTAATAGCAAACGTATAATATAGAAAAATAATAAACAAAAGAAACGTTTAAAGTTAGAGAGACAAATTAACAAGTCTGTAATAAAATCTTCAAGTTGTCAGTACCGTAGTTTGCGACCGCAAAATCAAGTTTTGTATCATTGTTGAAATCACCAACAACAACAGAAAATGGAAAAGATCCATAGCTAACTAAATATACTTTTGAATCTGTAAATCTACCACCACCAGATCCAAACAATATAACTACATTACTAGCACGATAATTGGCGACAATAATATCTAATAAAGCGTCATTATTAAAATCACCATAGGCAACTGAATAAGGTTCAGCATTAATTCCAGTTGAATATATGGTTTGATTCATAAAAGATCCATTGCCATAACCGAGAAATACACTGATATTACTATCATTAATATTAGTAACAATAATATCTAATCGATTATCATTGTTTAAATCAGCAACAGCTAAAGACCATGGGCCAGAACCAGTTGGAAACGTTGTTTGATTTAGAAAAGAATTATTGCCAAATCCAAGAAAAATACCAATATTATTGGAGCCTGAATTCGCGACAGCAATATCCATATAAGTGTCATTGTTAAAATCCCCAACGACGAATGATTGTGGAACAGATCTGTTACCAGTTATCAGTGTCATTTGGTATTGGAAAACCTTATTGAAGTAACCGACAAATATACTTATAGTGTTGTTACCTTCATTAGCAACCACAATATCTAGTAGAGTGTCATTGTTGAGATCACCAACAGCTACAGAAGATGGAGAACGACCAGTTGAATAGGTTGTTTGGTTTGCAAAAGAGCCATTGCCATATCCGAGAAGTACACTTACAGTGTTGTCATCAGAATTAGCAACAACGATATCCACTCGTGTATCATTGTTGAAATCACCAACAGCTACAAAATATGGAGAACTGCCAGTAGAATAGATAGTTTGATTTGCAAAAGAACCATTGCCGTATCCGAGAAGTACACTTACAGTGTTATCAAAATAATTAGCAACAACGATATCCAGTCGAGTGTCATAGTTGAAATCAACAACAGCTACAGAAGATGGTAAATAGCCAGTTAGATAGGTAATTTGATTTGCAAAAGAACCATTGCCATATCCGAGAAGTATACTCAGAGTGCTCTCAGCTTTATTACCAACAACGATATCTAGTAGAGTGTCACTATTGAAATCACCAACAGCGAGAGAAGCTGGCCCAAAGTCCGTTGGAAACGTTGTTTGATCTTCAAAAGAACCATTACCATATCCGAGAAGTATACTTACAGTGTTATCACGCGCATTGGCAATAACGATATCCAGTCGGGTGTCATTGTTGAAATCACCAACAACTACAAAATATGGAGAACGACCAGTTGAATAGGTAGCTTGATTTGCAAAAGAACCATTGCCATATCCGAGAAGTACACTTACAGTGTTATCCCGCGCATTGGCAACGACGATATCCGGGCGAGTGTCACTATTGAAATCACCAACAGCGAGAGAAGATGGCCCAAAGCCCGTTGAAAACGTTATTTGATTTGCAAAAGAACCATTACCATATCCGAGAAGTACACTTATAGTGTCGCCATAGTAATTAGCAACGACGCTATCCAGTCGAGTATCATTGTTGAAATCACCAACAGCTACAGAAGATGGCCAAGAGCCAGCTGAATGCGTAATATGATCTCTAAAAGCGCTAGTATCAAATGCACCAAATATATCAATATTATCAATATTGTCATATGCGACAATAATTTCTGATTGTTTATCATTGTTGAAATCACCGGTACGAACAGCTACAGGAGCGAAAATCAAGCCAAATGCATCTAGTACTTGATGTGTAAATGTTCCCTTTCCATTTCCAAAAAATATATCAATATTTTTACTACCATAATTAGCGACAGCAAAATCGCGTTGACCATCATTATTGAAATCATCTATGGCAAGTGAATATGGATTTGTGCCTGTTGGAAACGTTTTTTGGTCTAAAAAGGAACCATTACCATCTCCAACAAGTACACCAATTGTATTAGTGCCATAATTAACAACCGCAAGATCTAACACCATGTCATTGTTAAAATCATCGACAGCGGCATATACTAGGCGAGCACCATCGCCAGACGCAAATCTTATTTCATTTCCTAAAGATCCTTTGGCATAATGAAGCAATAGACTCACACTGTCGTCAATTTGATTAGCAACTACGATATCCAGTCGTGTGTCGCTGTTGAAATCACCAACAGCTACAGAATATGCATAAGAACCAGTTGAATACGTAATTCGTTTTGCAAAAGAACCATCGCCATATCCGAGAAGTATATTCAGAGCGTGATCATGTGGATTAACAACAACGATATCCAGTCGTGTATCATTGTTAAAATCACCAACAACTACACAATATGGAGAATTGCCAGTAGAATAGATAGTTTGATTTGCAAAAGAACCATTGCCGTATCCGAGAAGTACACTTACAGTGTCGTCATCATAATTATTAACGACGATATCCAGTCGAGTATCATTGTTAAAATCACCAACAGCTACAGAAGATGGAGAACCACCAGTTGAATAGATAGTTTGATTTGCAAACAAACCATTGCCATATCCGAGAAGTACGCTTACAGTGCTGTCACCATAGTTGGCAATAACGATATCCAGTCGGGTGTCATTGTTGAAATCACCAACAGCTACAGATTGTGGCGAAGAGCCAGCTGGATAGGTAGTCTGATTGGCAAGCGAACCATTGCCATATCCGAGTAGTATACTTGTAGTGTTGTCACCTGTATTAGCAACGACGATATCTAGTAGACTGTCATTGTTGAAATCACCAACAGCTACAGAGCCTGGATTAGAGCCAGTTGGATACAAAGTTTGTGGTTGAAAGCCTTCATCATAACCAAAGAGGATACCGATGCTGCCAGTATCATTGCTGATGATAATGACATCAAGTAGATTGTCTTTATTGAAATCAACTACAGCAAGCGAGTTGGAAGAAGAAGAACCAGTTGAATTCATTGTTGGTTCAGAGAAACTGCCATTGCCAAGTCCCAGTAACATTCCTATATTATTAATACCTTGATTACTAACGACTAAATCAAGTCGATTATCTTTGTTAAAATCACCAAGACCAATAGAAAATGGCGAAGAAGTATTAAGCGAGTATGCTGTTTGACTAGTAAAAATTCTGTTGATGTTACCTAGAAATACACCGACATTGTTAGTGCCATAATTCGCGACAGCAATATCTAATAATTTGTCATCATTAAAATGACCAACAATGAGTGAATATGGATGTGAATTCATACCAGTTAAAAATATTTGTTGTTGTAAAAAGGTTCTGTTGCCATTTGCAATAAATATAGCTATATTATTTGTACCATAATTGGCAATAGCAAGATCTAAATGATCATCATTGTTAAAATGTCCACTGATGACTGAGAATGGTGACGAATCGTAGCCTGCTGAATATGTGATCGGATATGAAAAAGTTCCATCTCCAGATCCATAAAATATGCTAATACTATCAGTTCCATAATTAGCTGTAACGATATCGAGTGATGTGTCATTATCGAGATCAGCTATATGTATCCAAATTGGACGAGATGAATTAGTTGAGATTACTGTTGTATTAATAAAAGAACCGTTTCCAAATCCAAGAAATATACCGATGCTATTAGTGCCGAAATATGCGACAGCAATATCCATGTGATGATCGTTGTTAAAGTCACCGATCGCTACCATATACGGAGTAGAATATAAACCAGTCGAATACGTCATTTTACTTGCAAAAGCACCATTGTTATATCCAAGGAATACAGATATACTATTAACGATACTATTGGCAACAATAATATCTAACAATTCGTCGTCATTGAAATTGCCAACAGCAACAGATCGAGGGCCGAAATTATATTCCACCGGGTTTAAAGGAGTTTGTATGAATTTCAGTTCACACTGTTGAACTAAACAAAAAAGATAAATAATGGAAAATTTAATCAGTTGTTATAGTGTAATTATTTTTATTAAATTCGTAGAATTTCATTTAGGTTTTGAACACTGAAATACTAAGTAGATGATATGTATACTTATTCAGCTTCTTCCATTTCCTGTACATTTGTTTTAAAAAACGCGTTATTTTGGAGTAAAAGGAAATGATATAAATGCCTCAAAAGGATGGAGTCAAATGGATATTATTTCTGTTGTGTGACGATAATGAAAGACAACACATAGAATATAATAAGATATTTGTCGATTGATGAAAACTCTTCTTCCTCAAAGAAATACATTACTTCTATTTATTATATCATACTATTACTAAGAATGAATAAATAAAAATAAATTTATATCACTGAATAATATACTTAGAAGTACTTAAATAAATAAAATTATCTATTAGGTATCGATCCTAATATGTAACTTAAATTAATTAATTAAAATCATACTAAAGAAAAATCAGAACATACCTTTTGCTTTTGGTGAAGTCAGACAAACTATTATGATGCTTGTAGTCATTGTTAAGGTTGCGAAGAGAGCAAATGCACCTACACCTGTTGCAGTTCGATGTCTTGACCAACATGAATGATTCCTAGTGAAAATAAATTATATATATATATATATATATTATGAGGTTTGAATTGAAAAGAAAATGACATACAAGGATGTTGAAGCCATTGGCGACTTCTTCATTTTCTTAGTAACATCGACAGACTCTGCTAAATTAAATTGATTTTGTATTGAGCTCTCATGTTGCACATTATCGACATGAATATCTTGCTCAGTAAATGAATGTCTAATTCTTATACCACCATTATCCATAGAACTTTCATTCATCTATAGTAAAATTATCATATTTAAAAAAACAGTTTTTAGAACAAATTTTCTATCAATTACCTTTTGCATTACTGATTATGTTCTTTGAATGTAAAAAATCTGCAAATTCTTGACAAATAATAAAATTTCTAAAATAATAGATCAATTGATGCAATAATTTTAATTTAGGATATTAAATATCAGAAAAACATTTCTGCGAATTGCTTCTTAATCAAAAAAGAAAAATTCAAACTGCCCCGAACGTATACACTATTTGAAACAGTTTGAGCCTTATCACAAATCAAAACGTAAAACATAGATAGAAATTAAAAATATCTATGTAAAAAATAGTTTGAGTCGATATATAAATTTTTTTTTCTCTAATTGACTTGATTGATGTCGTTGTCTTCTTAATTAATTTACCCATTAAATGGTAATAAGAAATGATTTTACTTGAATCAAAGACTGTTATGTAAATTTATACAATAGTTCATTTTGACCTTATGAATTATAATTTGATGTTGTTTATCAATTAAAGTTTCGATGGTCTTATATGTAGTTAATAAAACTAATAATCGCTAGAGTAAATGATTAGCAGTAGTTTCTATTCAAGAAAAAAAACAGGGAAAATGGTACATGAAAACGAAATGAAAATCGAAAAAAGTTATAGAAAAAAATCTATTTTTATATAAAAATAAAAGCTCGTACTTTACAAATAGTAATAGATAATTATTTTTAAAAGCTTTGACAAATAATATATATTTTCTTTAATATTATTTCAGTTTTAAACATAAATAAAAGTATTTAAAAAAGGATGGTACCTACCTCTATTTGATTTTACAGTATGTGTATCGTTTACTTTTTCGTCTGAGTACTTATTCTCGCCGATCAATAAGGTTATTACTTAACGGGTACTCGTTTTTGTACATATTGCGTCATTGTATTACTGATATTTATATATAATATTTTATGAACGAAATAAATAACGTCAAAACAACATTATCGTCATATAAATCTTACGAATAAAATTTATAATCATATGACAATTTGATGCACATATATAATGTATACGATTATCTTTACAATATCGACAAAGAATAAAATGACAAGATTAATACTTCGAAATAAAAAATATATACATTCTAATGAAAGCAATTTGATTTTTCATTGTTTTGTCTTATGTATGGATTTTTCTCTTGCTTGTCATACTTTTGATGAGATACAGATGCGCAAAAGAAAACAAGTCACAAAAATGTGATTGCAAAACAGATAAATATTATTTTGTTGACGACCATTTTTATAATCAAATTAATAGAATAGACAACTGCATTTGAAGTACTATTGTAAATTGTCAGGTCATTTGATTACATCTATTTGTAAATACTCTGAGACAATTCAAGGATGATTTTATTAGGTTTCATCGATCATCGAAATCTTGTCCATTAACAGCAAATGTCATTATGTAAATAAAAAGTACCTATAAAATTTAATTCTCGACTACTTTTTTTTTTCGAAAAAACAAATATAACAGATTATAACAGAAATAAAAAACTAACGAAAAATATAAATTAAATTTTCATAACAATTCAACAACCATTCATCTTTTTGTAAAAATATTTAATAGTTGTTAAATGTTTCTATGAATGATATGTATTTCTTTTAAATTATTTTAACTTTTTTTCGTTCCTCCGATAGAGAATATCGTTCACTTTTTCGTTTGAGTATATATTTTTACTAATCCACAAGTTAACAATGTTATCTGCCATTTTTTTTCGGATATATATATCATATGAAAGATAGGATAAGACATTTGGATGATATGTAAAGAAATTTAATTGAATCAACACTAAAAATAAGAAGAAATAAAGAAAATATCTCTTTATTACAAATTCAATTAATAAATATATAAAAGATTCATTTATTCTTAATAAATGTAACTACTAATTCTTAAATATTTAATTTATTTCATCTGAAGATTTCTTTTCACTGAGTAACGAAAACATGATTTAGTTGACAAATCTTTTTTTTATTTGAATATTACGCACATTATTTAGGATACATATTATTAATGAGTGAAACGATGCGAAAAACAACAATATTACTTCGATTCAGTAACGACAGAATATACGCATGTATAAACATGACTCAGCAATTTATTGCGAAGAAAATCACAAGAAAAGAGAAAAAAACGTCGTTCTACAGTATCAACGTGACGTTTCTCCTTTTTTTTACCGTTTATTATTATGAGTTATACCTTGAAAAAAAGATAATTTCGTAATAAAAAATAAAAAAAAATTGTTTGCCATTTTGGGTCTTTATTTTATTGTGTGAAATCGAATATTATACTTAAATTATTTATAAATTAATAAGAGAAAACACAATTCTTTCTCGCCTTCCATCTATTTTAGATAAAAGAAACAAAATAGTTTTTTCTATTCATTTAATATAAATCTTTAACAACTAATTAAATCAAACAAAGACAAATATCTAGTTTTATTTTTTAATATATAGCGAACATTTTGTTATTTAATCTTTTAAATTAATGATCTGAAAAATCTCTTTATTTAGTTCTAATGTACATAGTCGAAATACTTCCTTGACTATATATTTAAAATATGTATAAGATGACTTTGACTCAATAATAATATAAATATTTGCACAACCAATGAAGATTTTTTGTTTTCAATCATCTCAACTGATTGTATTAATAAAAGTGTGTATAGTTTTCGTATAAAAATTTTCTGTCTAAATATCAATTTCAGGATAAGACAAAGCATGCTTGTATTACACAATTCATTTATGATGTAATTAACAAATATATTCATCATCATTACCGAATATAACTAAACAATTTCGTTGTATAAACAATTCTTGATTATAATATCAAACAAAAATCATAAATTCACTTTCGAGAATCGAATATTCTCTTTATACAATAAAAAAAATTATATATTCTTAATATAGTAGAAGTATTTAAAGTTTTTATAAAAAACACTTTGATCTTCAGAATTAACAGTCGTAATGGATATTGCATATAATAGAAAATATTCAACTATTAACTTTATACAAAGAGAAATACAGATTATATCAGAAGTTTTTTCTTTCAAAGATTAATGAATATGCGTCTCAGTAGTATTTTAATGAATTGATAAAGAAAAAAGATCAAATGATAAAAACGGATATATATTTGTTTTAATTATTTATTCACCATAACAACATATTTAAAACTATTTTTTCTCAACGAAAAACATTCATCCAGTAAACATTTGTCTTGTTTTTCTTTCATTTACATATCGTTACGATGCATGCAGACAAAGAAATGATAGAAACAGAAACCTTCTCAAAACATTTCGGTCTGTTATAGTCAAATTATGTAACTTCACAAAAAGAGATCTGGATGTGAATAAAATAATGTAAACGTTCTTCGAATAAAAAACAGCATCTCCTCCATGATTACATTCGAAAGTTTATCTAACTAAATTGATAACTTCTTTTCCTTTTAATACTTTACTGGAAAAAACATGAGAGAATTACTCTTTCACAGTTTGAATATATATCATACACAACTACAAGTTATATGATTTTTCCGACAACTAAATATTTCTCTTTTCTTCGTCCGATTTTAATGACATTGGGCTGTCCACTACAGGATATTTTATATACGAATATAATGACGATACAATATTCATTCATGAATTTTATATCAATGAGCATTTACAAATGATTGTTTATCTGCATATTTCAACAGTGTTGTAATTATATCTGTTTTTGTTCTGAATGACAGAGAGAAAGGGATTAATGATCTATACGAGTAAAGGTAATGCTGTAATTCGAAAAAAGTTAAATAACTAACTGATTTTGTAACATAATACAAAATTTAACATGAGATATGAGAGAAAAAAAATTACAAAAAAGACATTTTATTGGTCTCAAAATTGAAAAGAAAAGAAATATTTTAGAATTCAGCGGTTGCAAATTTATTTCACTGAAGCCGACTTAATTTAGAATTTTCACGGAATTTTTGCATTTTGAAAAACTTCAATCGTATAGATCATTTTGATTTTCTAATATAAAGTTAAATATGAGTTAAAAATAAATTGACGATAAATCTAATGAATCGATTTGAGCTATTGGATCTTTTCAGATAAATCATAAATTTAACGATCAGGTGTGCAGATTCTGAAGATGTGGATATGAATTTAAGTAGCTGTGAGATAATATCAATATGTATATTCATCTTGGGTGTGGGTGTGGATGGATTCTACTCATATCCACACCGACGCACCACCCATCCGCACCCTGAAGATGATTATGATGTATATGGATGTCTATTTTTGTGTTTGTGTTTTGTGTAAAATTTGTTGTAACATCTGCTATTTGATATTGTTAAAGGTTAATAATGATCGAAAAAAGATCGATCTTTGACCTCTAGATCGAAGACAACTTCAAATACTTATCTATTACATTTTGATTATTTATTATTTTCGTAGATTATAAAGGATAAAAATCAATAAGTAACAAGCCAGTAATATTCTTATTATTGAAACTGAAGTTTTTCATCATTGTTTGTTAATATCGAAGATTATAAATATTTCAATACAATAAGAAGGTCAAGTACCAGATCAGCAAAAAAAAATTGAGCAAAATATTGTAATATTTTATTAAGATTCACTTTGTTTAAAAATAGTATTTTTCAATAACGGTGTAAAAAGAGTTTTTCCTATACTTATTGCTTCCGTTGACACGCCAGCTGAAAGTAATGAGATACGATAAATAAATCGATGTTCATCACCAGTTACAATCAATTTTATTAAAAGAATAACACTTGGTATTCAACAAAAGCATTCCTTTCTGAAGATGAAGTTAAGTAAAAATTAGACATGAAATAATATTCTTCTTCATTTAAAACTACATTTTTAACAACACTTTTATACAATTCTACTGCTGGACCTTATTCATTCTTTTCGTTGAAAATTATTAAAACCCTTCAACTGAATAATCATAAAAATCTATAAGCTCTTTCATCATTACTAGTGTTATACATAAAATAGTTTATATTTTGAATATCTGTAAGACAAAGTTATTTAATGGTCAATATCATTCCGACCGATCATTTATATTGGTAAAGGTTCATTAAAACATGTAAAAATTGATAAATAGTTAACATTACCACAAAAACTAATTCTTTCTATAGCACTATCGAATATGTAGATGATAACTGTAAGTCATAAAATTATATTGTCTTTTATGTCTGTATTACTCTTAATAATAGATAAGAATAATAAACAAAAATGATGTCACAATCTTTTATCTTTGGTAAAATATGCTTACATTTAAAATACTCTATATCATTTTTCGTTTTTCAACCTACTGACTCAACTAAATTGTTAGTACAGATCTAAGTTTTTCTCATTTTGATTAAGCATTTGAATATTTCTTGACGCTAATCATATGTCTGATCAAATAAAAAAAAGAATATTATTCACCTTTTCTATCGTATCATGTCTATTAATTTTCTTAGAGTTTCATTTTCACTCGATACTACAAGCGATGTTACCATATGGCAGTTATTTAGCAATATCAATTGGTTCAGTTTGTGTCATCATTTTAGTTGGATTTATTATTCTACTTAAATTACCTCTTCGACGACTTGTTATCTTGCTTGAATCTGTATTTCGCTTTAAAGAAGTACGAAATATTGGTGACGACTATGCCGTTATTGATGTATGTAATGATCAATTTGAAATATCTAAAACTATATCAAGTCGTCTTCCTTTTGTATTTGCACTTGGTATGTGTTTCTTAGTTATTATTCTAGTATTTATCGAAGGATGTATTTTTTCAACTCGTCATGTATATTCCACAAGATTATGCTCTGATCGAACACCAAATTGTTATCTATTTAAATCACAACTAACATCATTTAAACCCATATATAATTTCATTTGTGAACCCGATAAACCAATTATTCCTAGCAATATGTCTGCTAGTTACGCAGTTTGCTATGGTTTTGTGCTTCCTGATCAATCATCAATTGATCTTCTCAATCAACTTGGTGTCTGTGCAGGTATTCTATCGATGGTTGAATCTCTTTATCCACTTGCTTATAGATTTGCACGTCATAAATATAGACGTATTTGTCTTATTTTACTTATTTGTGCAATGATATTATTAGAAATTATTGTCTTATCAATGCAATTGAATGTAACATTTATAACAATCATTTTACTGACATTAACTGAAGTTTTATTAGTGAATATTTTTGTTTTGCAGTATAGACATATGAAATATCCTGCTAATTTGACTCGGATGGGATCCTACATAGAAATGAAAGATATGCTTTAAATATACTGTCACATTTTTTTTTAATTTTTATTTCTTATTACAATGTATATATATAACAAATAACAAAAATAATATATCAATCAAGTACACCAAATAGACGAACACTTCCTGAATCATCATCTTGAACATAAGCGAGAACGGATGCTTTTGGATGCCAAGCCACTGCTAATGTTTGTGCATCACATTTTAATGCATATACACGTTCACCTAAGGAAAAACAAAAAATATTATACAAAAGTTTCATAGAATAAAATTATATATATACCAGTATCAACTTTAGCAATTTCTATATAAGGATCTTCTGAAGCTAATGCAAGTAATTGTGATTGATGACCAAAACTAAGACCACGTACAGCCCATTCAATTCTAGTAAGAACAGTAAGACAAACAAGTTGTGAAACATCCCAAATTGATGCTGATGCATCAGCTGCACCAACTGCAAAATATTTTCCTGTTGTATCAAATTCTAGACAAATACAATTGCCTGTATGTGCTGTTAAACAATGTAATTCTTCTAAAGGTTTATCTTTTTCTTTTTGAATACCAGGTGCACTAAAGAAAATATTTTAATATAAAAATCTTCTACAATCTATTCATTTACTCAAAAAATACAACTGAACCATGCCCAGTCGTAACAGCAAATAGATTTCCTGATCGATCCCAAGATATTTCATTCACTTCATAACGAAATTGTTCTTCTCGTATAATTCTATATCCAGAAAAAAAAAGAAATTATTTTGAATAATTAAAATAAAAGGAACTAACTTGGAAGTTTTAACATCAATAAATGTAATAAGATCATCTTTATTACCAACAGCTAATGTTGTACCATCTGGTGACCATGCTAGATTAATGTTTTCTCCTACAACAAAATTTATTATTAAGATAATCTTTCTTATTTCTTCTCACCTTTTGTTTCTATAGTTGTACTAGAACGATCTGTTCTTGTATCAAATATTTTTACTAATCGATCTCCACTTGCTGTAGCTACATAATGTGAAATAGATGGATGCCATGCAAGTTGATTTATTTCTTCTCCATGTTCACGATACGTTCGATCTTTTACCTATTACAATCATGTTCTTCTCAATACATGTATTCATTCTCCGAATTCCTTACCTACCATTGAACCTTTTCCATCATATGCAAATATGACAACACTTTTATCTAGAGAACCACTTGCTAACCGACTTCCATCAACATTCCAATCTATTGTATGAACTTTTCCACTATCTGTTCGATAACTTTTATTTTTTGTATTTCCATTAAATAAAGATTGAAATGTTTCCAATGTAGTCGTCATCTATAGACAAAAACAAAAAAAAGACTCTTGCATAAGATCAAACAATCATCAACTGCTTGTTATTTTTTTAATGCAAATGAACCATACATAGACACGAAAAAAATGTCAAATTGATAATCGAACACAAAAGAATGGTTTGAGGAAAATAACAAAACCAATACACACACACAGAAAAGAAATTGTATACACTTTTATTTTTATAATGTCAGCTAGATGTTTTGATAGAATTATTATTATTTTTCAAGACCATTTTCATGAGTTGAATGATCGGATTCGTTTCCATCTTTACCATCCATTTCTTCATCACCTGAATGATGATGATTCGTTTTTTTCTTTTCGCTACTATGACTTTCATTATCACTTCCATCACTATCATCATCATTAGATTTACGACGTGGTGATTTCTAAAATAAAAAATAATAAGAGTTTTTTTTACGAAAAAATGTTTTACTTACTGGTCGATCACTTTCATCATCATTATCTCGAGCACCACTATTCTGACGTTCACGTCCTGTTGTTGGTGATGATGAACCTTCTTTTGAATGATTTGATGTACGATCATCTCCATTATCATTATCTTTGGATTCTGATCGTGATGAGCGGCGTTTCGAACGGCTACTCTTTTTTTCACTTGGTGATTTAGATTTTGATCGACGACGTTTACTACTTGAACCACCACGTGAACGTTTTTTCTCACGTTCACGACTTGAATCATCTGAATCACTTCGATCACGTGAACGACTAAAAACAAAATATTAAATAAAAATCTTTCTCTAATGGGATAAACGAACATACTGATTTTTTCGCTTCGATGAACGTTCCTGACTACTTTCACGACTGGAATCACTTTTACTACGTCGTCGACGAGATGATCTAGAAAAAAAGAATAATAAGTCAATACTTCAAAAAAAAAATATAGATCAGCATACTTTTTCTTTGAATGTCCTCGACTACTACTACGAGAACGTGAACGACGACGTGGACGACTAAAAAAAAGATTATAACTAATAAATAAAATATTTCAAAATCTTACCGTCGATCCTCATCTCGACCATTTCCATGACCATTATCACCATCTCCATCACGAAATCCTCCATATGATGGTCCACCTCGATAATTTACCGAACGAGCTTTAGCATGTTCAACACGAGCACGTTGTCCACATACCACACTAAATATAATTTATCAAAAAAACTACCCCACACATTCTTTTCCACATACCGGCCATCCATATCTAAGAAAAACAAATAGTTTTTTAATATTTTTCTTATTAGAATAAACAAAACTTACTTCGTACAGCTGTATCTGCATCTTCACCATATTTGTAAAGTACAAATGCAAATCCGGGTGGATTGCTAGAATAATATTGAAAAAAATAAATATAAACTTATTTCTTACAACACATTAAAATAAGCAATTACAAAACATTTACAAATACATATAATCCATATTTATAATCCCTAATAATCTTACACATGAATAACTTACCTTAAGATTTCTATTTAGTAATTTATTTATTTCTTTATATATCAAAGATGTTGTTTCGATGTCTGTAGGTGTGCACAGGAAAGGAAGATTTAGGAGAGAAGGAACGCGCATGAGATGAGAAGAGAAGAGATGATATATGTCGTAGGAAGACGACGGGTGTGTGTATAAATTTGGTCGAGAGCGGTTGTTGTGACGCTCAGAAGTGTATACAAAAATACGATATTTTTATGTATAGATGATAGACGAATTGACAAATGTGTAGAATCATGCTGCTCTTTTGAAACCAAGCAAAGACCAATAGCAGCAACTGAAAGATGGATGATTAAATGTCATTATTTTATTGTCTTTCATACCTCAGTAGAAAAAAAGAAATGAAGCTTTTTCAAATCCAAAGAAAATCTGACTAATTCAATTTTTTTTCTATTTATCATACTAAAAACACTTACCGAGCTACCCAACAATCAACTAATGGACCATATCGTTCACATTCATGTTGTAATTCAGATATATTTGTACGTGCACCCAAATTTCCAATAAAAACACGAAAACCACCTTGCTTTGGATCATAAATCGGTTGACTCATACTTTATCTGAAATGATAATGAAATTATATATCTATATTACATACATCAACCATTGTTCTATTCCATTCAAGAAAAAAGATCCTCTCTTCTCATTCATGATATATTTCAATCATACAGAACAACCAACAAGAACACTTTTTCGATATTATAATATCTTTAGGATTTTGGAAAAAGAAAAAAAGAAACCGAGAAAGAAGAAAACAAACGTTTCACAATATAGATGACGCTAATATCCGAAGAGATTTCACATTCATCTTTCCAAAACAGAAATTTATGTATATATATATGTATATGAAAAAGAAACAGATTCAGAAGATAATGATGATAGAAAAAAAAAAGGGAAAAAGAGAAAATGCTAATGACAACTAATATCTAGAAAAGAAAAAGTGTTCTTTAATCTTGTTTTAATGGTTGATTAAACGGTAATGTGCGATCATCTATAAACTTTCCCGGTCCACCACCACCACCATTCAAATATGTATCTGCATCCAATGTTTTACCATTATTCTCATTATTTGCTAAAGATGCAACAATGACAACAGCATTCTCACGTGTTACAAATCTATCCCACATAATTCCCAAAAGTTCACCTAAAATTGATATACAAAACAAACATCGAGTCTTTTTAATATCTTTACCTGCAACAACTGGATTTGTATTTTTTGCAACAAGACGTAGAAAAAGTATTCCATCACCACCAAGATATCGATCAGCAAATGCATCAAATAAACGTCTTTCATGTTGTGTCATAGCTAATTCACGATTAATACGTAAATGTTTTTTTAAGAAACTACGACGACCACGATAACTCATTTGTCCAAGCCAAATAATAATACCATAAAATGTTGCACAAGTTAAAAATATTAACCAAAACCAATAGAATGCAAATATACGTTCATTGTAAAGATTAACAGGTAATGTACATTGAACCTAAGAATATTTTCAATTAGAAAAAAAAAGAAACGAACGTTTGTTTATTTATAATTACCGTATAATTAAGATTATTATCTCCTAAATAACGAATAGCAAAATCACAATAGACAATACGTGGAAAATATATTTTATTTTCCATCCAATCTCGACCAGTAAATACACCGTAGAGAACTTTTTGTCCATATGACCAATAATCAATTTGAAGAAAGTGGTTCATTAAGAAAAATTGACCAATAGCGTTCATTAAATAGAAGATTTTAATTAGAAAATAAATTCCTAAAATATCATTAATTTACATAGAAATTTAAATAGAAATAGTTTACCTGTTAAAACACCTCCACCAGCAAAAAACATCAATGCAGACATTGATCGTTTAAATAAATTATCAGTAACACGTAAATTTGATCTAGAATATTGTTCAACTTTTTCATAATGTTTTGCCATGATCGTTAAATTCGATCGACGATCTTCAGGATTTGTTAGTTTCATTTTGGATAATTGATTAATCATTGCTGGAACATCGAATGTTGCACGATGACCAATAACATGCCATAACCATGCCGGCAAATACGTGAACAATGCAGCAGCAATGAATATATACGGAATCCAAATATAATACGGAGTTTTATGTGAACCATTAGCACCACGAACAAAATCACGTGTTAATGCTGTTTTATCATCAACTTAAAAATAAATAAAGAAAGCAAGATTAAATAATTGAAAAAAGTAAATTTTCTTACCAGAATATGTATAATGAATCCAACAGAAATTTTCAACATAAGTTTTATGATTTCCTCCAAAATCAGCGGGTGGAATGCATTCAATTGGTGTGCCTAAAAATATAATTTTGTAATCTCAAAAAAACATAATTTACAAACATACCAACAAATTGTTTTGCACTTATAGCAATAATAAAAACACCGAGTAAAATAATTGTCCAACGATGACTATATCGATCGTAGACATCATCATCCTAATATAATTAATTAAATTAAGAAGATTTTTATTAGGTTATATACTTACGTTGCGTCCAGTTTGACCAACTTTCCCATAAACACCGATTAAATCGTACAACATAACAGGTTTTTATCAATCTATAAAATAAAAGAAAATAAATTTGGATAAAAATGGCAAGACATATTCGAATGAAATATATGCACACATGTATAATACACAGGTCAGCAGTTCTCTTCCTCTTCGTTTCTTATTTTTTTTTATGCTATGCTTGTCCCTATGGAGAGAAAAAAAAAGGAATATGTGAACAGGATGGTCGGACAGACAGACCGACGAGTCAACTGTTCGCACACATTCATTCGTTTTTCTTCTCTTTATTTCTCAAATGACCCGAAGGAAGAACAAGAAAAATAGATGGACGTGTATTATACATATATGCAAATGTATATATATCTATTACAACTGGCCTCAGATCAACTGTAGAAATGGCGGTAAAATAGTGTGATGGCGCGAACATGGTATGTCGGGGGTGGAGAGAAAAGAATGGCATAAACATGTGAAATAATAATGTTAGTATGATAGAAAAAAAAATATTTAAAACTGATAACGATATGATATACATAGTTGAATGTATCTGTAAAAAAATAACGAATAAAGATTACACGATTTAGTATGCAATAGGATTCATTTCCTTTTATTATTAAATATAATTCTGAATTTATTTAGCTGTTGCTTACATAATATTAATTGACTATGACTTATTGGATCTCCCATTGTCAAAGGAATAAATAAATCTTTTTTAACACTTCATCACCTGTTTGATTTAACAATGCAATGTCACTGAACAAGTTACGTATACAATGGCATGAATTATAGATAAAAAGAAACAAAGTTTAATACAAACGTATCCTATTACATTCTGAATTTGATGATAAGGAAACAAATATATCAGTTTTTTATTATCAGAAGTAAAATTTTACATAAAGAAATCATGATAATTAGGAGAGAATATTGGCAATTGTAAAATATGAGATTATATTACCAACATACGATAGAATGTCTTAACATAATATCGAGAAAATGGTGAATTTTGACATACCTTAAATGAACTTTGAGCAACCCATCGTTCTCTACATCATTGCACTAAATATAGTAAAGATTTTCGTTATAATAAAATACAAGAAAACTATTGAGAACAAGGACATACGTGACATCATTTACTTCAAACTGAAATATATCACGCATAACATGTTCGCTTCTGCTATTTCTTATCAATGCATTGTCGATATTATTCAAAGTATAATTTGTTTTTGTACAAGTATTGTGTGAAGTACCATTGAGAAACACTAGATAATAAATTGAATTAATCTGGTTGACAATATACTACAAACTGAACGGAAGTCATTTTGATCTCTGTGACTCTACAAGGTTTTGTATCATTTTTTTTTATTACCGACAATGTTCTTCAATTACAGTTATTTCAATGACAATCAATTACACAATATTCAAAAGTAATGAAAAAAAGCGTAACTTATCCAAGATCGTGACTTTTTCTTTATATATGTCTAGATTGAATGAAATAATGGATAATGATATTGCACATCATCTGATTTTTTTATATTATCACTCAAAAAAAACTAGGACATACAACTTTTTACCCGATAATTTCGAGAAAAAAGAAAAAATTACTGTGTTTTATGAATACCTCATTGAATTTATTAATTAAAATATTTTTATATAAATAAAATAAATAACTCATTAAGATTTATGCAAATGTAGTTTTTTTTCTTTCTATATAACCTTGACTGTCATTTCCAATTTAATTAGAAAAGACAGGAAAACCATCAGTATGAATAAATAATGAGTTAAGTATATTTGTAAACTATTTCCTGTAAGTCGCCCGTTAATATCAGTAATATTATGATGTTGTAAAACTTTCCTAACAGCTGCGATTGTTAATGGTCCGTTACATAGCATACGATTACACTTGATTGTCATCATTGCAAAGTTACCGGAATCATAAATATGAATACTAGCTGATTCACGAGTATTATACAGACATAAACGTCTATAAAACTTATGTTTAATAAGATCATCGATAATCTGACAAGAACCAGACATTCCAGGTACAGTACATTGATGAACATCATCATTTATATCAAAACAAGCTAAGTTTTCCGATGATGCAAATTTATCATGTAATAATCGTTGTAAATCAAAATAAATACTTGATACATTATAAGATCGTTGTGTCATTTGAATAATTTTTTGTTCAGCAAAATTACGAGCACAATTATCTGTTTCTTTACATACATGATGAATATCATAAGAAAAAAAATTATTCTTAGCTGTTTCAATCATCATCGATTGTTTATTATCACCAGCATTGGCAATATATAATGATTCACCAGTAAATGTAACACTATAATTTTTACGATTATACCAAAATATAAGTTTAACTGAACAACGATTCGCTGTGATAGAAATACAGTTTGATGGTAAAATAAATGGTTGAGACATTGAATAATTCATTGAACAATTATCTATACATTGTAAGTTATAAGCTAATTTGAAAGCAGATACGAACAACACTAGAAAAAACATCATTATCTCATTCTGTTAGCGACAGAAATGGACATGCCTTTATATCGTTAGTGTTCTAAAGAGAATACACGTAAACATAACCAGTTTGTATATTATTGTAGAAAGACATTTTTGCTACTTTCGAGCATGTTATGATATTAATATCTAGCAAAATAGCCTCGATAAAAATACGAAAAAGAATTATATTTTCTAACATCGTAATGATCTAGTTTGGTCATTATATTAGATTTCTGTTTTTTCTATTAACAACAATAATACATTCTGCCGAGAATAAACTGTCGCCAACTAACAAAGAATATTTTATCTATTTCTGTAAAGTGTAAAATAAATTATTCAATAAAATATTATATAATACCCCTTGCATCAAAAGAAAAACCTATTACATCAAATTCAATTAGAAAAGAAAACACTATGTACGATCTATAGTATTCTAATTGCACTAGCATATATTAATACTCTTTTTAAAAGGTTGAACTCTAGTTTATCTTTTTGTTTGAATTACAGATAGTTTGTTTTTCTAATGAACATTTATGTCTCATTAGTTTTTGATATTGATATGAAAAGATTAATATCTTGTCGTCTCATCGACAATTTGATTAATATTGAAATTAAATATATTTACAACATAGATTGTCCTTCTGAACAACTTTATCAATTGATCAATCATAAAGTATTATTATCATTATGAAATATTGAAATTATATACATGAGGTGTATATATTAAAAACCTTGAAGCAACGATAGTGACAATGGCGGGTATTTGAAATATGATGCAATAGTGAAAGGTTGTATATTAAGCTGTAGTACGTCGGCAAGACAAGAAGAAGAAGAAGAAGAAAAGAAAATCCAACTTGTCTATTTCGATTAAGCTTTGATCAGTAAAAGGTTGTCGTTCTTTTTCTTTCTGTTTGTCACTCAATATAATTTGAACAGTGGTAAACTGAATGTCATTATACTTTGACATTCACTTTGAGTATCATACAACAAAAGGATAAAAGATACAAAAATAATTATTATCAATATTTAATCTTATATAAGGTATGTTATGGTGTTTTTTAAGTAGTTACTCTTAACAAATAAAACAGAAGAAGAAGAAAAAATTCAGTCCGTCAAATATTTGAGCTGCGACAACAATCGTTTGTGAAATGTCAAGACAGAATACATTGGCATGTCTCTCGTCTGAATGATAGACAGACGAGACTTTGTTGAGATAAATAGTATGGCCAATGCACACAAAAACACATAACGGAACCTTAATAACTAACTGTAGAGAAAAAGAAATAACAAGGAAGGAAAGAACTCTTAGCATGTCACAATGGTATAGGTCAGCTGCTTGATGTTCGCATTACTAGAGATTATATAATCAACCGAGATACCATAATTCTTCACACAGGATAGAAAAGAAGAGACAGAGAACATCAAGGATTTCAGTGACATTATTCTACAAATAATTTTTATTTCAGTAATTGATCTGACCGATGACAGATGGTGCAGAAACACCCGTAATCGATTAATATCAATAACGACTAGATAGTTAGCAATAGTGATTGTGTTATTTTCTCATTATACGTGTTAACAATTGACTTATTTTTATTGTCTTTTATTGAATTAGATAAATGAGTGATCTTAGTGACTATTTACTTGACAAAATTGACATTTATTAATATTATGTGTGTCTGTCTCAAATCAAAAGAAGTCTTATAATTATAAAGTAAGTAATACAAAATAGTATGAAATTTGCGTGTATTTATATATCAAGATGTGAATCAATGATTGATTGACATGAAATAGATATTTAAAAATTTATTTATTTCATTGTGCGTGTGAGTAAATAATCAATACTATAAACATTTATGTCACTCGACAGGTAATTAATATCTCAAGTGGCAATATGTTTTCTTTGCTTAAGAATTGTTTTATTGTTTTTCAATTATTATTATCAGATAAGAATGCTTGAGTTACGAAAGAAAAGAAAATATTTTTGCATAAATTCCCTTCATTATCTACATCTACATATACTATAGGCGACACCAATTGACTGAAGGTATTTAATCGAAGTTGTATATAAACAAAGAACAACATCCGAACAATATAATTTAAGAAATTAATAAAAGATATCAACTTCAGAATATATATTTATATATTTCTTTTTCTTTTTTTTCTCTGCTTCATTTTTTTTCTTCTTCTCCTTCTTCTTCTTCTTCGTCTTACTCTCACATGATCCGTTAGTTTAGTTTTGTTAATCAGAAAGGAATGCAATGTGACGCTGACAGAAGCGCAGAACGTCTTATAACGGAAGAAGGGCGTCGATCAAGAGAAAAAGAGGGCGAAAGAAAGTAATAGATGCTAGAAAAATATCGTCGACGAGATTGTTTTGCGAGTTGGCGGGTAAAGATATGTATAATAAGAACATGCGTGTCGAAATAGTTGATCACAAGATTCTAACCACCATCACTATCGTTGTTATATCTGCATTTTCTTGTCGACATTCCATAACATTCTTTATGTTGGCGTCTGAAAATCAAGATCACATACATAGATAGCAGATCCTAATACTATCGGCTGTATATTATCGTTATTATTTTTATTAATATTATCATTTGATTCATTATGACAACAAATGATCAGATTGAATTCTATGAGCATGAAGAAGAAGTAGCAGATGTAATTGTCGATTTGTCAAGATTCACCTTCTCGAGAGACAGCATGAAGCGACAGACGTAAGATTGATTAACCTTTCAATCTATATTATACGATAGGAACACGTATATCGTGCTAATTATGTGTCTGTATTGTCTACTTATATATATATTTAGGTGTCTTCGTATCTGTTCACAACCCACCATCTCAGTGTCATCCGCCGTCTCCTGTATTTTTCTCTCTTATTCTCTCTTTTCTTCTCTTTCATCTCTTTCTTTCATTTTTTTTTCTTTGTACGTTCAAAAAAAAGGCATAGGACGACAGCTACTAAGAGAAGGAAGAGAGTAATATAGTAAAGAGCGTATGCGCTCACTCGAGCGTTCGATCGTCGCGTCCTGTATATAAGCAACACTCACAGAAAAAAGAAAAGCTCGTCTGTTATTTTGTCTGTGTTGTTTTCCTGTGACTCTCTCTCTCTCTCTCACTTTTTTCCACGAGTTCAGAAAAAAAAGAACAAGAAACGAAGTACAATGCGAGCAAAGCAAAAACGAGTCACGTAAGCCATTAGATTTATACATGTTCTTTTCTTAACAATATATATATATATATGAATTACATAATTCCCAGCGTTCACTTTCCTTATTTATTTATATATTTAATCTTTTTTTTTCTTCTTGCTTTTTATAGTATGTACAATACAGTAATAAAATCTTCGTCAAGTCTTTCCTTGGCTTCCAACGAATCAGCATCAGGTGGAACATCGAATTCAAATTTCTTACCAAATATGCGTAATGATTATAGTCTTGATAGTGTTTGTTGTACCAAACGAACTCTACATTCATTTTCACACATGTGGATTGTAGAAAATTTTTCATCCTATCTTGAAGATCCAGAACCCATTATTTGTTTATCATCATCACCATTCAGTCCCGTATCAGGTGTGAGTGCTGCAACACAATGGCGTCTTGTATGTTATCCAAAAGGCAATTATGGTGCATCATCAAATTATATGTCAATATTTCTTGAATATATTAAAGGTGAACGTGATATAAAAGCTAAAGCTGAATATTCACTTGTAAATCGTAAATGTGAATTAACAGAAATGCGTAAAGATGCACAATTTTCTGTTTATAAATGTGGTAATTCACGTGGTTTTATTAATTATGTTAAATATGATACATTAACATTACTCGAGAATGATACACTCGATGATGATAAACTTAAAATTTATGTTCGTATTACAATTATGGATGATGCTATAACTGAAGAAACAAAATATCAAGAATTTGATGATGCTGAAAGTATTAATTTTACAACGCGTGGTCTCGAAGGACTTGTACGTGATTTTAGTCAATTATTAATTCATTCACCATCAAAAATGAGCGATATTAAAATTAAAGTTAATACAATTCCATCACATAATTCACATCCAATTGAATCTATTGATGATTCAAATTCATCTATTGGTACTTTTAGTGCTCATAAATTAATTCTTGCTGCTCGTTCACCTGTATTTGCAGCTATGTTTTCAAATTGTACATTAGAAAATACAACAAATACTATTGAAATAAATGATTTACGTCCTGAAACAATTCAATCAATGCTTGAATATATTTATACTGGTAAAGTTAATGATATTAAAAAATCGACAGTTGAATTATATCGTTGTGCCGATAAATATCAATTAGAAGACTTACGTTTACAAGCTGAAATGGCTTTAATGAGTTCGATATCAATAGATACAAGTGCAGAAATATTATTACTTGCTGATCAACATCATTCAAAAGATCTTAAATCTCGTGTTATACAATTTATTGTCGGTGGAAATCTTAAGGCTATAACACAAACTGAAGGTTGGCATAAATATGTTGCATGCATTCCAGATTTAGTTACGGAAGTTATACAAGCAACAACTCTTGAATAAAAGAGGAGAGAGAAAAAAGAAAATACATTAAACTTAAATGTAAACCTTGATAACTCCATCTGTTTCGTTCTCTTTTTTTTTCTTTTCTTCGGTAATACCTAGTCAACCTCATATTATATGTATTTAACAAGGACAGACTATCAATGTACAGTTTCTTTTTTCATTTCTTTTTTTTTTTATATTCGAAATCTGTTTTTTTATTTTCCTGCTATGATTGATTCATTGTTTATCCTTCAGTTTTAATAAAAATAAATACTAATTATATGAACATTGACTGAAAAAAACGATGAGACCAAGGTCATTGTCGAATGTTTGTTATTTATTATATAGATAAGGTCCTTAGCCGAAGGTGACTAACTGGAGTAATCAGTTTTTATACTGATATGCTTGGATGAACATGGTGTAAAAGAGAAGAAGAAGAAGAAAAAAGGAATTTACTAGAAATGTCTAGTTTTAACATGTAAGATTAGCAGCTGTTGAATTTGAATTTGTTACGTTTGTAGATTGTGATCGATCGTTATTCTTATCTGAAAGTGAAGATGTAACTGTACTGAGAAGATTATGTAAATGTTCAATTTCATCTCCACTTGCGCCATGATCATCATCATCGAGATTTGATGTTAACTCTACAAAAAACTTTCTTTAAATTTATTTAAGTGAAAAACAGAAACATACGTTCAGTTAAAGATATTGTTCGATTTGGTGGTGGAATTAAATCTGTTTCTTCTAAATAAGCAAGTGATGTTGTTAATGTTGGTGATTGCAATGGATCATCCATTTCTAAATCGACACTATCCGATTTATTGCGTATTTTTCTTGATTGATGACATTCAAGTGTACTCTTGATTAATGTTGGTGTATGATGTTTAATTCCTTTTATTTTATTAGTAATATCTTCATCAGATACTCGATTTGATAATGGTGGTGAAGTTGCCCATGATGATGAAAAACTAAATATTTGAGTTGGAGAAATTTGTTGTTGTTGATCATCAAGACTGTTTATAAATTGTGATGTTGCACTATCGAGAATAGGTGGAGTCGGTGTTCGATCAAGTAAATTGATTAATGTATTTGTTTGATCTAAGAAAATATAGATTATTTATTTTAGAATATTTTTTATATAGACATGTATTAACAAGACTAATCTTTGAAATTATTAATTGGTTTTTATGTAAAAGCATACATGATTATATGTATTTCATTGCGTTGATTTTGAATAATAAGCTTTCGAGAAGCCTTAGACATTCCACGATTCAATGCCATAACTGTTAACTATATGTATATAAAGTTTTTCTTCCATTAAATCCAATTTCTGATTAGTCACCCAGAAATACTGGACAAAATATCAACAAAAATATGTTTTAATAAGCATTTTAACCTTGAATTTCTAATACTAAATCGATATCGTTTAGGTATAGAAAAGAAAAGCAATGCATACAAATAAATATCCTTTATGTAATTTTCTTTCCTCTAATGCTATAATTTGTTTATAGAAACTTCTAATTAACGTACTTATAATTTCAAATCAGCAGAATGAAATACTTCTATTAAAAATTCGCATAAGATAAACTATAACTATATGAGAGACAGTGGCGGATTTAGGGGGGCGATCGTCCCTTCCAAAATCCTAGATCCGCCACTGATGAGAGAGTTCTACTATAAAGAACTTAATTCCGTTTGATATAGTTCTTCACACAATCAACTATTTCGCATTCAAATTGGCTTCTAATAGTTATTTTTTATGGATTCGACACATATGACAGTATTCTATCTATAGACAATGTAACAATTATATTAATATCTTACCGGATTTTGAACTGAAACTAGTTTCAGCTAGTAGTTTTTCTAATTCAGCTACACGATTAGCCAATACTCTATTATATAAGAAACAAAAAACAAAACATGATTTTCTATATGTATTAATTTAACATACTTATTTGTTTTTCGTTGATGTGTAATAGTAACATTTTTATCCTTGAGATTTTCATATAAAGCTTCAGCAATTGATCTTAAATCATTATCTATTTCAGGAGAAGCTGGAACAAGATAACTTTGTTTAAGAAGATTTTGTACTAAAATATTAAAAAGTTCTTATATTTAATAATAAGAAATTAACGTTTAAATAACCTTGTTTATGAGTAAGTACAGTTCCTGATGATTGTACCTTTCCTAAACGATTATATGCTGAACGATGAGTTTGTAAAAGATCCTTAAAATAAAAATCATTTAAAAATATTTCATAAAAAAATATTTTAATAACTTTATATTTCGATGCATTTGCTAAAGCATAATTTTTTTCTTGAACTAATTCATTCATTTTTACTTTTAAATATCTAAATAAAATAAAATATTGTTAAAATATGAATATTTTTTATTAAATATACCGATTTTCTGAAAGAATATGTTCGATATCAATAACATGTTTTTCATTTCCATTTAACATTTTATTTAATTCTTGATTAAGTTTAGAATATTTTGTTTTGAATGAATCACGTTCAATTTCAAGTTCTTCCTTCTGACAAACAATTAGTTTTAAATCATTATCAAGTTGATTTATCTAAACGAAAAAATATGAAATAATCGAATGGGATTACAAAAAACTGATTTACTCTTTCATTTGCTTGTTCTAAATGTTTTAATAAAATATTTTGTTGATCATTAGTGTCTTTATTTGATGAATTAGAATTATCATCTGTTGTATTTTGATTACTATTATTACGAGCTCGATGACGTTTTTGACGAAAAATCTAAATAAGATTAATTATTGTTTTTTTCTTCGGAATTATAATGTAAATATTAATTTACCATTAAATCCCCTTTGACATCATTAAGTTCTCGTGTAAGTTCATCAATTTTAGTTTGTAATAATTCTTTTTCATCTTGAACATTTTTTAAAGCAGATTTTAATAGTTGAATGGTTGGCTAGATCAATTATAAGAGGAAATTTTCTTAATCATGAAAAGAAAAATCCACGAAGCTAGAAATTGGATTAGTAGAAAGAATCAATTTTTTAGCATGCCTTTATTAGTGCATTAATATTCTATCACAAACCTCACTTTCCTTAAATAAATTATTTTCATTCTGAATATATTATAAATATAGTATTTTATTGAAATTATACAATATTAAATTACTTACATCATTTGGATGTTCATATACAGCAGTGGAATGATGAAATGGAATGAGAGTGTCGTTCTAAATAAATAAATATATATATCATTTTTTAATTCATGTTATATAATCGAATAGCGACTACTGATTAACGCCCTAGGGAACAACAGCGGACTTCAAGAGATTTCATGAGATTTCATGCATGAAGTCTCTGTTGTGTTCTCCTTGTTAACACCCCTGAACTCACTATCCGCTACAATCAACTTTCTCAATAATATTGCCGAATCAATAAGTAAAATTTGTCAATCTTGAGAGTGCTGCGAAAAGGTATTCCTAACTTTATCTCCACAATAAAAACTGAAATATCTCAAAAATTGTGTAGCTATTCAGGAATATCATTAGTATGATCGTATGGTAATGCAAAAGTGGCGAAAACCGATTCACCGTAGCTAAACGAAAACCGGTACGGATTGATAGCTACAGCAGAGTGAATGTTGCCTCGCGGTGTATATGACACACACTCAGTCTTAATATATCTATTTCAATATTGTTTTTCTTCAGATAAGGCGTCAAAATGCGTTACTTTGAACTTTAATACTTTATTATAGTGTTTTTTAACTCGAAGGAGTCACTTAAAGCTGTGAATATTGGCGAATCTCTTAAAATATTGACAAATATCAGTTTAAACGGCTTCCATTTCACCAGTTCGCCGGTATAGAGATTAATGATCGTCACCGTTACCTCCCTAGATATCATCTTGGATTATTTGTAGAATAATACTTGAATTAGACTGTACTGTTATTTAACGATGCACAAGATTTCCTTGAATAAACACATAGGAAACTGCTAAAGAATACTATGCATTGATCTGTTTGTAACCCATTGAGAACCGAAGAGAAAAAGCTCTTGGATGTTTTCAAATAAATTCACCTTATTATTCAATTGTCTTTTAAGTTGTACACTTTTTTCTTGTAAACCATCAGCCAATGATTTAAATTGATCACGTTCATGTTTTAATGTTTCTAATTCATTAATTAATATTGCAAATGCTTTTGTTTTACTATCTAATTTTTTTTGTAAAATTTGTATCTATCAATAAAAAAATCAAAAAGTAAATATATTTCAAATAATTATTGCTAATAGAACATACTTCACTATTTAAAGTATCAATTTGTTGCTGTTTGCCACTCATTGCATCTACAATGAAAAGTATAACAACTATTTATTTAACTTTCGATCACAAAAATAAACAGTAAACTTGTATAGTTTATTGATTGAATATAAACAAAACAACAAAAAATCACAATATATCATTATATAGCTTTTTCGTTTTGGGTAATGTTGGTCGAATACTTTCAAAAATATAATGCAATTTTTGGTGAACTTTTTTACAACCAGATACAGAATATTCTAATGATGATGATGATGATGATGTTGAAAATTCAATTAAATTCATAACACGATTAATAATATCATTTTTAGATAATTCATATACAAAATCATCATTTTCAAGATTTATTTCTAATTGCCGTTCAATACAACTACGAATATGTTCACGTTCAAGTGGAAGAAATGGAACAAAAAATGTAACTAATTGTCTATCAAGAATTGATGCTTGCCGTAATCCACCTATAGAATAAAGACATATAATATTAAAATGATAATTAAATTTTTAGTTCTCACCTTGTTCATTATACGATGTCGTAGAAAGAACTTTTTCAAATTCAGAAATATCATAATCTTCGCGTTTTATTGATGATAAATGATTTTTATTAGCTAATTCAGTTATAGATGCACCACCGGTATTACTATAACATAAAATATTATTAATTCAATTATTTAACTTCTTTTAATAATACCTTAGAAAGATAAAGATCGTTTTACGAAAGTCAATGGGTTGAGATCTAGTAGGAGTATGAAAATCAATATAATAGAGAATAACATCTAATAATTGATTAGGCATTTGATCGATTTCATCGAAAATAAATATTGCTTGTTGACATGCACGAGTGATATCTTCAATATTTTTTGTTAAACGATTCTAAAATAAAATTACGATATATATATATGTATAGACAAATAAAAAATATTATAGAGTAAGTAGATGCTTTTTCTTTACTTACACATATCATACCTTGTATTGAATAATATGTTCTGTATCATTATGCATAAAATCACGTGAAACAACATACAGTTGAACATACTGACTTTGATAGCCTCGTCGATAAAGACTTTCAACAATATGTTTTGCAACAAAATTTTTTCCTAAATAAAAAATATATTGTAAATTTTTGTGATAAAAACTCATCAAAAATTAATCTATATTGACTTAATAGAATTTTATATATCATTATGATAATAGAATTATCTATACTATATTAGAAATAAATATTAGTCAAGACAATATTCAATGGAAAAAAGAGTCTGAATTTCGAATCATTCAAGATTTATCCAGTATGTTAAGTCTACCAGAACGAGAACAGTCTGTATGTATGCAGTATAATCTGATCAGCAATGATTTGTAGTATCAGATTAAAGATTTCAAGAGAGCTAGGATAGGCCCTAACCAGGCAGACATGATCTTTAAAAAACTGCGTTTAAAAAGCGTTTTAACGATAGACCATTTTAAAAACGCCATCTTTTAGAAAGCGTTCTACTGCGTTAAAATTGACTCCGTAATTACTCGGTGAAACGCGGAATTTAACGTGGTTTTACACGTTATTTTGTGAGTTTTAACGCGTTAAACACCGTAGACAAAGTTAACGGAGATAAAAATCGTAAAAATGTGCGCTTTTTCGGATTTTATTCTCGTTAAAATCTCAAAATTTCTACGCCTATTTCTCCGTTGTTTTTGAGTTTTGTCCGTCTGGGTATACTTATTGCTTTCAAAATTGTATTACTATATTATAAGTAACCGATACGAAGAATAGTATTTTTTATTATTAATAACAAGTAACGCTTGTCTGAAGACTCGCTTAGCTCTTTTCTCGTAGAAATACATCCTCTTCACATTTACTGGAAAAACAATTCAAAATCGTGAAAAATCGGGTTTCGATGTTTTTTTGACCTTCTCTCCCTCACCGTAGTCATCCAACGGACCTCAGATTCGAAGTCTCTGCATCGAAATATCTCTGGAAATGTTGTTTTTAACCCTGCGGACAGACAAGCAAACAATTTACCCTTGCAAGACTCTTCTCTACGAGAAAGAGAATAAGGAATAGAAATAAAATTATAAGAAAATGATTTTAATATTTTTTTTTTAATAATTAATAACAAAAGCTGAAGAGTCATAAAATGAAAACAAGCTATTACAAAAAATAAAACTAACAATAATTATTGTCAAGTAGCAAATAAATTATAAAATTGAAGTGACATCTCTAATTTAATAATGCTTTTACCGCATAACTGGCACATGCTAAAATTTTATTTATACCGATAAAAAATGTGCTTTGATATAAACTCTAAATAAATATTAATATATTGGAAGACTCATTTTCTCTATACATCAGATCTTTTATTTATAACAATTCATATAGACTTTCATCAAAAAAGAAAGTATACCTGTTCCAGTACTGCCATGCAAAGAAAGCACCAGAGATTTGGACGGATTTGTATTAGATACATGTGAACTAATTGATCTTAATAAAAGATTATATGCAAGTGGTTGACCTATCAATTGACTTTTTAAACGTGAATCAAGTTCTAGAAAATGATTTAAAGAAAGTCTTTTGTAAATATTACAATAGTCAATGAATTACCTTTTATATCATTGGGTATCCAATAATCTGAGCAACATTCCATTATACAAAATATATCAAATATATTTTTAAGAAGCACCATATTTTTTTAATCTTCAAACAAATAAATTTGAAAAACAAACAAAAGATCAAAATCATCAGGTCAAAAAAAAACATTTTTTTATTTTTGGAAGAAAGACAAACATACAGATTTTTGTTGTCTAACATTCATCACTGTTCCCAGATCTTTAATAGTTCATAAAGAAGACAAACAAAATGCGAAGAATGTAATTGGAAATAACAAATCTTCAAATCAGTATCACAACACGCACACACATACAAATGTAATAAACACACAGAATATAGTATGAAAGAACCTGGTTGAAAAAAAGGAATCAACTTTGAGAAATATCAGTGAGATCATTTTCATCCATTATATATTCTCCTAAACAACCAACAGCACTAAAGTACCCCTAAATATACATAAAGATAAATTTAATTAAATAAATCAAATAATTTCATTATTTTCATACTTCATGTTCAAGAAAAATCGCTTTAATTTTACCCTCGGACCAATAATCCATAGCATAAGCTAAAATGCGCATTGATAAATCATTAATACGTAGAAAACTACCACTAAATAAGATTCGATCAACATTCTACAAAATTAAAATATTTTAATAAAAAAAAATTCATTTTAAAATTATGAAATATTTACTTCTGTTCGTGCACACATCATTGAAATAGATCCAATATTATTTAATACAGTTACTAATGTCGCTCGTGCTAAATCAGCTTTTGAGGCTTGTTCACGTTTTTCGGGTAAATTCATATGGCCGAAACTAAAAGAAACAAAAGCAATGGTCTATTTAAATCTTGAAGGTGTGAGTGTGGGTGTGAATTGTAGTAGGCGAGGAGTGTAGATGTGTGAAAAAAGAGAAACATTCACATCTGGATCAACTCACGCTTACACCTACAACCGCAGACTCATCTACTACTCGAACCGCCACCGATACTCACGCCCTCAAAATATATGTGTATCTATTTTCTTTATACAGAGATGATAATATTGCTATTAAAAGTTTTACACAAGGAGTAACTTGAATGAGTCATCAAACTACTACGAAAAAAGTAGAGTTTGAATAATATTGCAGTTATATCGTTTGTAATCGTATATTGTCTGTCATTTAAATTAACAAAAGGAAATATAGAATCGAATGAGTTACATCTGCTACGTCTGGTTAGCAGTCTATGAATTTGATATTAATTAATATTAATAGAATATTTCATATGTATGAATGAATAAAAGAAACATCTCATAATTAAGACTAAAGAATAAGTAGAGATGATAGTTATATGACTTTAAGCAATAAAACATATCAACGTATTAGAGAATCAAATTAAAGTGATATTATTTAGTTTCAATAGACAATCATTCAAAAATCTTTTATTCAATGTAAGTTCAAATAGTTTGTTTGACCTCTATACTCAACAATTGATCATATCTTTTTCCATGTAATACAATAAGGCTTCATAAAAGAAAGATTACAGACGATTATCTTATTTTCATAATAGGAAAACAACAATTCTGACTTACTTATTAATTAAAAACTAACATTCAATTTTCTTTTTTTTGTTCTCTCTCGATATTTACCTGCATGCTACAATATGTCCAGGTAAACCAAATCGTTCATAATCACCACCATAAATATCTTTAACTAGTTTATCAACCTGATTCAATAAAATATAAACAGATAAAACTCAAGCATAAGTAAAATAAACTTACTGTTGTACTATCTCCTTCCGAAGCTAATTTAATAGCTTCCTCATAGCCTGAGCAACCTGTCAATAAACAACATAAACCCAAAAATGTAGCACCACCGATACTATAATATTCATACAAATCTATAATAATTAAAATAAACATTTCATAAAACAAACCTTGTACCAGTTATACGACGATAACTAGTTTCCGATTCGACATGTAAAATACTAATTCCACTTCCAATATTAACTAAGAGAAATGGATTTCTGATATTAAATTTAAATGGAATTTTATTTGAATTTTCATTATTTTCTGGTTCTTCATAATAAAAACATTCATTTGGATTGAGTTTACTTAAATAGCTTAAACCTTTTATCAATGTCTCAAGTTCATCACATTTACACCAACTTAATTTTAATCTCTAGAAATTAAAAAAGAAACAAATATAAAATCTTTGTTTATCAAAATAAGTTAACATACTTCGACTGCATCATGTTCAAATTTATAAGCACCACCACCAGTAGCAAAAACTTTGAAAGTTAATGTATGTAAATGTTTGGAAATACATAAATCAATAAAATTTGACATTTTTGATGTAGGAAATCGAATAAAATGAAGGTTACCACGACGACCACCCAGTCGTACATTATTTAATTCAAGAGCATGATCTCGAAAACCATCTTCTCCGTAAGCACGATTTGATGTTAAATAATGGCGAATATTCATTAAAATTTCTCCTTCAAGTTCAACTTCTTCTGGATTTAAGTCGAGTGGTTCGAAATAAACAAGTTTAACTAATGTTCCACCAATATCCATAGCAAACCAAGGAAAGGCTAGAAAATAGTAGAAAAAAAAGAGATTTATTACAGATCTTTGTTTTTATTGATTATTGCGAACCTGGAATGGTATTTTCTTCACATGATTGTTGGCCGTTAGTTATCGGTGAAACAGTATTGTTTGTCATTTTTGTATGTTTACTTATATTTGTATTGGAATGTTCGATACCGTTATGACTAGAAACAAATTATTTCGTTATATAAGTTAGTAAAGTAAAAAAACATGAAAACATAGTATGGTACAATTACGCCACCCACATCTCTAAGGTAATTGATCATAACGATAGATACTATTACCTATGCACGTCATATTTTTCTCTATCATGGTTACTATAGTTATGATTATATATTCTTCTATAACCTTTTCAATAATGAAACTCACGCATAAAAGAAAAGAAAATAATACTATGGCTTTTTGTTAACAATTAAGTGAAGCATAAAATAAAGAAAATGAATTAACCTTTTTGTATCCATTTTTGATTTTATTGATTTGATTTTAATCGATTATTATTTAACATCTGGAAAAAATAATTAATAGAAAGAATATATATATTTAATAGGTATAAACAATTTTTTTGTGTTGTGATATATATGCATGTCATATTGAAGTTCTTTTCAGACGAGTTAAACTATAATATTTACTAATTGTACCTTTCACATATGTATTTTTTCAGTAGCGATACTTCCTTTTCGTATCCATAATTATTCTCAACAGTGTGAATGATGTATTGTTCGATGAATCGCAGTTTTTATTGATCATTATCATTTGTATTTGTTACCATGGTATGGATCGTAAGTGAACAGAAAATATACATTTTATTCAAGTAAATTCAGGCATCTTCGGGAAATATCTATCGAGTTAATGACGTACAGTGGTTGAATGAGTTCCAAAAGGCGATACAGAAATTAAGAAAAGAACCCGGTATACGTGATATTTTTAAGAAGAAATCGGTAGAGCAGAACGAGAGGAAAACAACATGTGCGAAGAATACAATCAGTAAATATTATAATTTCACTCTTCTGAAAAGAACTTCCATATGAAATATATATATAGATACAAGACTCTATCAGATACTTATTTGAAAAGTTCATGTTTCATTGAATCACACACTGTTTATTATCATTATCTACAGATATCTCCTACTGATAATTTCTCTTCTCTTCTTTTCTGACTTATTTTTTGTAGAAAGAATTTTACAAATTGAAGAATCAATCTATAAGATACGCTCTATTCTCATAGTCTGCTCTAACTTCAGAAGAACTATTAAGAAAATCATTTCCGTTTCAGAATATCGCTTTCAATTAAATCACTACTAATAAAAAGACGCTTGGAGGCATCATAAGTCAAATAAGATCATAGTTCATCATGTATCGTTTACAATCAAATACAAGAAATATGAACAATACGAAAAATACCTTAGAAGGTTTACATTCTGTACATGTATATATCTTACGATCAAACGTAGTTAATATTTCGTGCATGAATCGAGTAGTCCGAACATTTTAAAAATATAAATTTTATCTAAAAAAAAATGATCATTCAATTAAATGAATTTTAATTCATATGAAGAGAAAATGTAACTAATTTTCAATTGAACCTAAAAGTTAAGATTAATATTTAAAGTAAACAATATGATTCTACCTGTTATCTCTATAAGAATTCTATTAATCCATGTTTACTTTTTCGAAGTATCAAACACTAAAAATAAGAAAATAGATGATAATTTTGTTTTCAAACTATTCACTCGATCTCTTTCGAATGACCTAAGAAAAAGTTACAAATTTTTAAATGTCAACATTTTATTACATTCTTTTCAATCAAACATTTTTCTTTTTTTTCAGAAAAAAAGAAGAAGAAGAAATTTTACTACAAAAATGATTACAAATTTTGATCATTTTTGCTCTTGAATCGGATATTGTTCAAGTATCATCGTTCGATAATCATTCCATGTATTTGCTTTTAAACTCTCTCGAATTGCTTGAAAAAATGCATGATAATGATAAAGATTATGAATTGTAATTAATGTTCGTCCAAGTAATTCTTTTGTTTGTATTAAATGATAAACATATGCTTGTGTATAATTTTTACAACAATAACATTCACAATTAGACAACAAAGGTTGTTTACCATTCATATATTCTTTTGAATTAATATTATAATCTGGTCCAGTGGTATTCGAAGACATTTTATCATTATATCGAAATGATAATATAATAAAACGATCAGAAATATAAGGAACGTAAGCACCGGAAAAAAGATCAAAACCTAAATCAACAGCTCGTATTACATTATCAGGTCGCCAAAGAAGTGGCATAGTAAACAGAAGATTTTTATAATCATTTAATTTCTTTCGTGTTTCTTCAATAAGTGGTTTAAGAGTATCAATATTAAGATTTTCTGTTAATGGACCATATGAATGAATACCTTCAAAACTAACACCAAATATATTTTTTTCATATTTTGGAATAAGACGAAGAATTTCATTTAAATACAATTCTCTATGACGTTTATCATATCCGCCAACAAGTGGAATGATAATATTTGTTGAATTCTTTTGTTCTTCTAATGAATTTTCTAAAAATTTTCGACTTCGTTCACGATCTTTAGTAAAACGTTTGTCTGTTGTTTGATCAAATGGCGTATCACCGTCAAACATTGTTTCGTACATTGTTGGTTTAACAAGTTGAACTAATTTTTTAAATCGATCAATATTTAATTCTTTACGTCCTGATTTTGTCCATACACTTGAAAAAAGATTTCCATTTCCACCGGCACGTAATGGAACTAAAGTATCATGAAATGGACAATAGATTGGATTTGATAATCGTGCAAAATTTGCATAAGATTCTGTATTTTCAAGATTATTCATTGATTCTACTAGACTACCAAGTGGAATTTCAAGTAAACGAGTAACATTATCCGGTATAAAATCATATGTTACATCGGGTACAACACCAGTACGTACATAAAGCATAGCTGCTGGTGTTTCAATTATTTTTGGTATCGTTGAAAATGCTAATTCACCAAGACGAGCAGCACTCGTTGTTGTTGAATTTGAAAGAGATATTGTTTTAAAGGATATATTCGCCATCTGAAGTAAAAGAAAACATATTCATAATCAATTAAATTACGATGTACTCGATTAACGTAGTTCGATGAAACTTTTAAAATTATACTTATGATAACATTAGATATTTTCAGGATAATCATTCTGTTTGTCCTTGATCGAACATAGTAACACTATAATTATTTAGATTTCATCAGAAAAAAATGTCCTCTATGGAAAGAGTTGTTGGGCAATAACTTGCAAACATTTCATCAGATGTACTGACAAAAGGAACGAAATAAAACTAAAAACTAAAACGAATTAAGTATTTGATTGATCATATCACATAGCATAGCATCATGTCTATCTTGATTTGAATTGGTGGAAAATCACTTCATAGAAAATTTCAAATAAAAAGAGGTCGCTCTGGTCAAATGCTTCCTTTCGATAAAATTTCGTCATAGGAGAAATCCTATTTTATATTAATTCATCTGGGTGTATTAATTAATAGATATATGTACCCAATTGTCTAAATCAAATTAGTTGTACAGAATTATTACTGAAAATTAAAGGATTATCAATATGATTTTCCATTGTCTTATTTCTGATACGAAGACTAGAAACAGAATAGTAAAAAAACGTCCATTCCTTTAGATTACTATTAATAACAATGAGTACAACGTTTCAATAGTACACACAGACATGATATCTAATGATACAATCAGACAACTGCAGATGTATTTGACATGAGTGTCTACATCAACTGACATGCAGAAGTAAGGATTATACCAAAGAACAAGCAAATGTCATTACCAGACTAAAAAAGACTTTTACGAAAGATCTCTGAGTGTTGAAAATCATATTACATATGTTTTCCATTTCTTTGCAAAATTATATTTTCTCAGTCGGTACACTTGAAGAAATTATTATGAACTCTTCAAAAAAAAATTAATATCGTCGTTCGAAAAGATATCTTTCTTAGACATTGGATGATTAGTTAAATTTAACTGATGTCAGGTTTTTCTTGGTAAACAAATATTCGTCTCGTATTTGAACTCTGAGTACAAATAGGGCAAAACCCATAAATATTTGCCCCATGGCAATATTACTCTTCTCATATACCTAGACAACAATTATATGTTAATTCTACGAACATTTATGTAAATATTTCTTAGTTTATTCCGTCTTCTCTTTAACTATGTAAATAAAACACGATTTGTGTATCGTTCAAGGATCAATCACTTGGCAGGAAATGAAAACATTCAACGACAATTATTTTCAACAAGCTCTTCACAATGATTAACTGTACAAGTAAACTTTTATATTGATGTATCTAGAATAAAATGATAATGATAAATATTTAAATTATTACTATATGAAAAAAAAAACATCAATGATTTCAAATAGAGGGCAATCATATATGGTAATATGAAAGAAGATAGAAAACAAATTATATTTAGTTCGATTAGAAATAACTTTATTAGAATATATAGATAACAATCAGTTACTATGATCGTCAGTTGATTCTATTGAGAAAAAGTCGGTCTCATATGATTAGAAAATTTAAATATTCAATCATATCTATACAGATTTACAACTAATTTGAATATATTTTTTTACCTTACGTTTTTTTTTGCTTAATCAAAAATGATATATATATATATCTTATATTCAATAATTTCTTCTAGGAGAAAAAAACATCCAAATAAATTTACATCAATCAAAAAAATGAACACATATAATAATTAGTTTAAGTTCAAGCATTTGAATGTTTTTTTGAATTATGAAATGTATAACTTCCTGCACTAGTAGAATTACTGGATATACCCAATGCTTGTCGTAAACGAGTTAGTGGTCGTGCATGTTGTTTTCGAGCTTGTTCCATATAGATCATAGCTTTGAATGCGCGTACTTCATTATCATCAACATCAGTTGCAAAACGTCGAGATTCTAGACGTCCTTTTTCATTACTAGCACTACTACTTGATACAAAATCATTAGTTATTGATGACCATTGTGCATCCATAGGTATTGATAAATAATTACCAGTACTTTCGGATGATGTTCTAGTTTGTGATCGTGAATTTTTTTTTGATAAAAAATATCTTGAACGTCGATCATCACTAGCTGATAAATCAACACTAGATGGACATGAACGTGCACCTGCTCCATTTCCTAATGAAGTTTGATTCGAAGGACTTTGAAGAAAAAATGCTGTTGTTGATGAACTACGTCGAAGTAATGATGGTGTTGACACTCGATCTGTAGCTGTAGGCGCTGGAGGTGTACTTTTATATGATGATGATGTTGTTGTTGTTTTTATTGTTGACGCTGAAGGCATTGAAGGTAAAAATGATGATGATGATGATGTTGATGACAATTGACTAATCGTTTGTTCAAGAAAACGAATTCGATCCAATAGTAAACCATTAAAATTAGTTAATAATTCTTCACGAAGACGTGCTAAACGTAATTGTGTTTCACGATCGGCACATAAAGTATTATTACAATATCCATTTGCCATTCTTTTTTCGATTCAATGAATAGATGTAATAATGGTTGTTAGACAATAACAGAATCGTTTTAAGGTGTTGTAGAGTATGTGACAACTACGTAGATTATTTTCTCGTATATATGTCTAGGATAGAAAATTCTGGCGACCTAAAAAAGAAAGAGAGACCAAGATACAATTAAGAATGATTGCAAGTGAGACCACATTGCAGAAGAAACGCGAAGAAAGTTGTCAGAAAAATGGAAAAGAAAAAGAAAGTTTGAATGAAAGGAAAAAAAGAGAGAGAGAGAGATGGATATATGGAGAGAGAGAGAGATGGATATATGGAGAGAGAGAGAGCTAATGGTTTAGATTGAATCAGTCGCAGTGCTTGTGAGCATTTTCCGTGCTGTCTTATCTCTTCCCACTCACCGCGCATGTTATATTGAAGTGCTTGTCATTTTTTGTGCCTCCTGTTTACAAACAGTCATTCTAACGTTGCATATAATGCTAGCTTTTACTAAATAGAGCATTACTCTTTTTCTCTATCTATTTATACAACTGACTCCCACATTATGCGAAATGTAACACCTGTAATAATAAATCAGAGAGAAATTTGTCCTTCTGTTTTACTCGAAATATTGTAACAAAAAAAATTGTTTTTTATATGTGTGATCTGTCATTGTCAATAAAAGAGTTGACTCTTGCTTGAATAAAAGCTTTTAAGTAAATGTAACATGCAATAAAGAGATTGATAATAAATAAGTTAATAAAGAAGAAATGAATCAGACTATCAAACTAAACTATATACACATATATTTAACCTTTATGATTCATATTATATCGATAGATAGATAGACCGAAAGAGAGTTTTTAAAGATAATAATAATCATTTTTAAACTGATTACATTGAACGGAACTAGAACTTTATGCTTATATAATTATTCATGGATAAATAAAACCGAGTATGTCTAAGTATGCCTTTATCATAAATATAATTACATGTTGAGTATTACTTTATTTTGTAGTATGGCTCATAATAAATATCTAAGTCACGAAAATTTTTAATAAAAAATAAGATTATATGTTGTACTGTATAAATATTTGTTTTTCTTACGAAGAAAAAAAAACAATCAATTTTTATACTTCAAAGATTAACACAAAAACGTATCATAGTATTCTAATAAAACAAAACAATACATGCGTGTTATTGATAAACAATAGTACATTAAGAAGAAAGACTTTGTAGATGAGTATTCTTTGTTAAAAACATAACAAACAAAGATAAAAGCATGTATTTACGCATAAATTCTTCTATTTAGAATGATAATAATAAATTCTTTGAAAACTTTTTTCTATTCATCATTATTTAGTTTGGAATAAATCTGAAATTTTAGAGTAAACACTGAATGATCTATGAGAATAGAAGTAGGAAGACATCAATCTAAATATTAATTAAAATGTTTTTTTTTTTTTGAAACGATACAGAAATCTAAATTGATTATGAAAAGAGAATGTTGACAGCCACTAATTATTGCATAAGTTTGAAATCTGTCAACTTTCTTCTAGAAGAACAGTAAGATAAGCTTTTTTTTCTTCACATTATAAGTCAAGTATTGTACCTGTCACTAAAGGAAACATATTTGATTTTTAATTGTCTTTTTTTTCTATAAGAAATTTTAACTATCAACATTAAATTTCTGAGATAATTATCAAAAAGATGTTTACTATTTTTGAAATATTATTCGTCCTCTAGCTGATCATAAAATAGATTAACCTTTGGTAATCTATAAATATTAATGCTTATATTAAACAATGAGGTCTATCGTTTTGCAGAGAGAAGTTTAATGCATTCTATTTTGCCATTAAACCTACAGTAGTGAATAAGTATTTCATTCATAGTAAGAGAGACTGAGAAACTATGTCAAGACTTCCAGTGTATAGTAAATAACGTTCACTTATAATTTATTCGATTCTTCTATTTTTATAGAATATTGAAATGTAAGACTTCATTGATTGAGACACGTGTTTTAATATATAAAAATTTTTATTCTATAAATACAAATACAGTCTGTCCACATAATCGGTTGTGATCCCGTCACGGTTTTTAAAATGACTGGAGATTCGAGACAGTTTTGCAGTCTCTCATTATAGAGAGTACGACTGGTTCTTCAAAATCGTTAATGAATTTAATCCTCGACACTCAGTCGTTTCTTTATAATGAAAAAATAAGACGTGGCGAAATCACATTTTACGTGGACAAGCTGATCTAGGGAACTACAAAATCACTTTTTTTGGTCCCGGACTTGATAAAAGCTTAAGAATAATTCTGGTATTGCCTTCATCTGTGCAAAAAAAAATATGAAGTTCACGAAAATTCTCGCTTTTTCGATTGTAAATTTAATCTATACGGTTTTTCTTGAACTATAAAATAACACATTTGTCAATTCTTAATTAAAGAAATAAGAAAATGTCTGGTCTCATGCTTGATAAAAACATTGAGGGATTAGCTGACGATTTTACTCTTGGTCCCGGTCCCGGGACCACTTTGCAGTTCCCTAGATCGGCAGCCGATCATAAACAATGAATACGGCATATCGAGATTTGCAAGTGATCATTAGACACTTAATAATTCGTATAAATTCAGTTTGTCATTTGAAACAACAATGAACTGTTTCAAAACTATTGAACTTTGAGAAATATTCCTAATCAAGCAAAATATGAATAACAGAAGATGATCTATTAATATTTTTTTTTCACTTATATAAACCACACAATAGTAAAAGTGTGTATAGCGAACAAAACAAAAAAAAACAAACAAGCAAAAAAGAATCATCGTCATTGAGAATGTATATAGAATATGTATATATATATATAAGTTATTATCATCGAATTGAGAAAAAAAAAGTGAGAGACGTCAAATTAGATGCACAACGAGAAAATAAAATAAAATAAAAGTTAGTGGAAAGAAGAGAAAAAAAGAAACATTATTTATTGTCGTGAACTCGATCCATTTGTCGATTGACGATGCATTGTTTGAACCATTAAACTAATATATGATGTAAGAAGATCATCCATTTTATAACCCTAAAATAGAATTCATATTTCTATTCTTTTAATCAGATAAATAAACTTACCAATGGTGATTCACATAATAAACGACTACCACGAACAATATCACCCACAGTCTAAACAAAAAATTTTAATCGAGAAATTAATTAAAAATAGAACGTTACCATATTGAAATAAGTATTTCCACTTGACCAATTTGAAATACTTGTAAATGGATATGTCATAAGTAAATCTTTTGTTTTTGGATGAATTAAATTAACACCATTTTTATTAATTGCAATTAATAACTGTTCAGGAAATGCTGGATCCGATGTTTGCTGAAAAAAAAGTAAATCGATTTCTTTAAGAAAATATTTTTCTTCATCATACTTTAACTTCAAAAAAAGCTGAACCAAATGTTGTCCATTGATAGACAATTTTAAGAAATTTGATTTTCGCATCTTCCGATGAAACATTACGAGATTGTCCATGAACAGTTACAATATGCTAGAAGAAACCAGATTATCAAAGAGAATAATTTAAATATTCAAAACAAACTTTTTTCCATTCAGCATATGGAAGTTTATCAATAAGATCTGATGGAAGAAGATCTTTTAATCTAAAACAAAACGAACATTATTTCGTATAATTTTAATATTTAGAAAATTTCTTACTGAAGATTTTCAAATTGAGCTGTATTATCACCGTATCGAACACGATATATACAAGCGGCTAATTGAACAGCTTCATCAATTGAACATTTATGATAACCACGAATTAATTTTGGAAGTTCCTTTAAAAAATACGAACATATTTTCTAAATTATTCTATTTTTTCTACATACTTGATGATAATGAAATATAATATCAGCCATTCTATCTTTTCCTGGTACAGCATTTGTCCATAATTTTCTCATGAAAAATATTTGATAAGTATATTTCGGTGGATCTTCACGTTGTTTAGTTTTTTTAATCCATTCCTTTTCAAACAAAAACAAAACAATAATTTTTTCTTTACCGATTAAATATTCTTACAGTTAAATGTCGAACAAAATCAAAGAAGAAATCTCCTTCGGGTACACTGATAACTTTATCAAGAATTTTAACGAATAAACTAAAACCTTCACTTGATTGTAATTTAAGTCGATCAGCAATATTTCGACAAAAATCTTTTGCACGTGTTGATGAATCAACTTCAAATGCTTCGGATGTATCATCAGGAAAATAAACTTTATGATAAATTTGTGTTGTCATATGTTGTATAGCTTCAACTTCAACTTGATGTGGAGGATGTTTACGTTGACCATTTCTGAAACAAAAACATTGAGCAAAAAGAATTTTACTTTTTTCAAAAATATTACTTTAATGTTCGTTGTAATCGAGCAAAACAATCAGCAGCTAATTGATGTTTACGTGATCGAAGAAAAAGATTAACTTCTTTAAGTAAAACAGCACTTGGAGCAAAACATCCACTTGCTAACCACATTAATTCCCATCCACGAGATTCACTTGCTTGATTACCATTATCAGTTAATTGTTTAACAATTTGGCAGAATATTTCATCTTTTAATATTTCCTAGAATAAAAAAACATACAAAATAGATTTTCGGATATTTCAAATTTTCAATTGATGATTAAAACTGACATTCTAATCAATTTTATTTCATGATATTCATAAAAAAAATTCACTTAATTAATATGTCAGTTTCAATATCCTTTTTTTAGTCATCTATACGATGTCATTGAGTTCGTATATATCTTACATGTTTCAATGCTGGATCAAAAATAGCATCTGTTAATTCATTCGTTGCTCGTCGTCTTAAACCAGTTTGATAATCTCCCATATATTTAAGTATATTCATAAAACAAGTACATGCTTCTTCACTTAATTCTAATTTTTCTTGTAATTTTTTTAATAATGGTTGTCTTAATGGTTCTTTTTGAAATGCCCATAAACGATCACCAGCATTATTGATTCCACCA